TGGGATTCAAACAAACAACCCAAGTAGTGCCAGGCGGAATTGCTAACCATTTGGCCACTGTGCTGCCCACATTTTGGAGATGAATTGGGAATATATTGTATGCATTTTGTGCATTTAGGAAGACCGTACACTGTTTGCACTTAGTACTCTCTCATCTTGGAAGTTGCACCTATTTGAGTTGATCATATAATTATTGATTCAGTGATATATTTTTGATATTTATGCACTTCATGATTTAAAGAGACCGCGCACTCACTTCCAGATTGTTATCCAGTCTGCCCTTCTCTTCAGACTATCAATCTTGCAAGCTGCTCTTGTGGATCAAGGAGTTTTTTCAGCGTAATGCCAACACTTGTTTCAGGGTTTTACTCCCAACATTTACAGTTCCCACATCAAAAGGTATTCATACAGTCAGATCTAAAGGCCTTAAATTCTCTCATCTATGCTTTCTATATGGTCCTAGATCTGTCATAGCCTTCCCTCAATGAGGAGACTTTCTAGCCTCTTCGGACACCAAGGATGTACACTTGCATATCCCTCACCCCAACATTTCAACATTACCTCAATTTTGCTGTGGGGCACCTAACACCCTCTGTAGAGCTACTATTTGGTGGCTACACTTCCAGGGCATTCCTACGTTCCTGTTGTGATATCAGGACAGCCTCCTATTGGGGGAACAGTCAGAGTTTCTGACCAACAACATGATGTGGACAGTCCAGATCCTAAAATAGTATAGTTGGATCCTAAACTTTCAGAAGTCAGTGCTGGAACAGATTCATTGCTTAATGTATCTGGGTCTTATCCTGAATACAGCTCAAGGCAGTTTTTCTTCCCAAGTAAAACTTTTGAGACTCTGCTCATAGATTTAGACAATGCAGTCCAGTAGCCTTCAAAATCTGCAATTTAACAAGAGTATTCTGAGCTTTACAGCAGCCTCTTTTGAGGCAGTTTCATTTGTTCGTTTTCACTCCAGACCCCTTCATCTTAGCATTCTGTCATCATGGGACAAATTGACAGTCACAAGACAAACCTACTTACCTGACACTGAGGATCAGGTTATCCCTGGCCTGGTGACTCAGTAATCCAGCTCTAAAGTTGGGAAAATCCTTCCTCCTGTTATTTTGGGACATCTAACAAGAGTTGAAGGGCTGGGGAGGAGTTCTAGACACCTTGTAGTGCAGGGGACTTGGATGCCAGAGCAATCTTGTCTCTCAATCAACATGTTAGAGGTCCGTATAATCTGGACCTCCAGACTGAAAGGTCAACTGATCCAAATTCAGTTGGACAACAGCACAGCAGCAGCGTATATCCGTTATCATGTAGGAACCAGAATTTCTGCTGTAGACAGGATTATATTTTGAACAGAACTTCATGTTCCAGCCTTGTCCACTGTTCTCATTTCAAATGCTCATAGACTTAGGCACTGCAGTTCAGTAGCCTTCAAAATCTGCAATTCAGCATTCTGGGTTTCATTTCCTCATTTTTACTCCAGTCAACAAATCCAGGGGACTTGGATGCCAAGGATGCCAAGAATCTTGTCTCTCAATCATTCTATGCATGAAGGTAAAAAACCTCTGTAGTCTCTTCTTCTTGGGTCCCCGCTGGCGCTCCTAGCTCCTTTTCTTCGGCGAGTGTCCCCATGGAAAGCGGCTTTCCATGGGGCATCCGTGCCAGCTCGCTCCTGAGCCACCCTTTTGACACAGACTGGCAGCTCATCCTGTTCCCTCATCACTACATTTGAATGACAGTCAAATCAAACTGCCCAGTGAGGAGGCAAGAATAAGAGGGGCTCATGTAAGAATCCTATCGAGCTCAGGTAAGAATGAGAGGGGATCCTGCTGCACAGAAGGCTTTTTTTTTTTTTACACCTTAATGCATAAAATGCATTAAGATAAAAACCTTAAGGCTGTAGAACCACTTTAATGGTTAATATATGCACAAAATGAGATTTCATATAAATAGATGACTGGAATTTTCACTTTTTTGGCAGAGATCCTAAACATGATCTTGTCTCTTACTAAACAAACCTCACATGCCTATTGTCTTGTAAATTCCAGTTGTGAAGGTATAAATGCTGCACTGTATTCAAGTTTCTGTCTTTCTCAGCATTTAAATTATAAACACTGATGTGAATCATAAGGCCCAGATAAACTTGTTTACTTCTGCAGTCCACATCAAGAATATGTGGGGATTGCATTAATATGATGGTGAAAACTATTCCATGAAAACACTGAAAACTGCCCACATTTAGGGTCTATTTAGAAAATATCTGCTGTGTAAATATCCACGTATTTGTTTGGCCGTTGCTATATTTTTCTAAAAGTGAAATCTAGGGTTTTGGTTTTTTCCCCAATCATGCTTGCCTAGGTGGATGCAGCATCGGTTTGATGCTGTATTGGTCACCCACCGGCTTGAAGTGTGAGAACTCAGCGGTCACATGACCGCTGATCGCAGAGCTCTCACAGCTTATCGGAGCAGAGAGTGGTGACTGTCAGTTTCTGCTTACTTGCTGGGACTGAAAACTGAGGGATTTTAACATTTTTATGGATGTTTACACTTCTGCTGTAAACACACTAGTGATGTTTGGAAATAACTTACTTTTTTTTTTTTAATTTCATGACTCTCTACTGAAATACATGGGTTTGATATTTAAGAACTGGCCTTAAAATGCTTGTGGCCTGGTAGTCTTGCTGATCTGGCTTCAGAACGATCTGAGTCACTGATGCAGAAAAAGACTAAAGATTGGAATTTCCGACGTCACTCTGACCTCGCTTGCTTTTTCAAAAAGAGGTTAGCAGTGGCAGCCTTCATGTCCCCTCAGTAATGATTTCAAGATCGTGCTATAGTGCTAACAACAAGGAAAGTGGCAATACATTTTTAAAAGGCCTCAGTGCTGCTATAGTTGACTATTAAAAATTACAGAAAATAATGGTATTAATCTCAAGTTATTAGAAGGAGCTTCTGATAGGCAGGTTTTGCCTCATGTACCTTCTGCTGCCTTGTTTAGTGGTTTTTAGTTTTCCTTTTTTATGCTTTTAAATTGGTCTTTTTTCCTTTCAACTAGCAACTTGGCACAGCTCAGTTTTATATTTTGGTGCAGCTTGCACACTTGTGTTGTAACTCATAGCAGATGCCCAATCATTATATATGTAATTATTCTGTAAAACTAACTAAACCTAATGTATGAATGCTATGGGTCACTGTGTGTGCAGCTTGCACAGTGCGGTAATTCCTATCTCAGTGCTGTAAATTGAATTGTGTCAGCAAATTAATACAAGTTCTTGAGCTTTTATCTGCACAGTCTAACTGCTGTTGCTCCTTAGCACCTGTTTGCATTTTAGGTGTATTTTAATGGTTTTTGTTGTAATGCCTTTGCTGGGGACTGGACAAGGATGTTAATATCCTCTTCAGCAGCAAGTTAGGTAAAAACTGGTATTGCAGTTCTCTTACCCACAGTCAGTGCTTTAGTGATGTATGCTTCTCCTCCCACTCTGCTAAAAAAAAATTTTCTTTATCTGTCATTATTTGAGATTTCCCACAACTGCCTGCCCTGATAGGGAAGTAAGCTGACCATGGCTCCAACTATTTCCTGCTTTATCCAAGACTAAAAGTTTTGGTCAAATTTAGTTGAACAGATCATCCTTTCTTTGCACAACAAAAATTTGGAATCAGTTGGTTCACTGTTTGCATTTAGGGGTGTGAACCCATATAGATATGAAATTGGAAGCACATACATATATATATATATATATATATATATATATATATACACACCTCCCACTTTCACTGCTTTCACTTTCCTAGATGTATTCACTGCCCTGACCGAGCTCCTATAGCACCGATTTACAGTTCAGGTGAAGAGTGGGAGCTGGATCTCATCTGAATGCCTTTCTCTACCAGAATGCTGCGGCACCCTGACTACCTCAGATGGCGCCCCAGCTGAGAGAGGCTGGTTTAGTTGACATTTCACTCTAAAGTGTGTTCGCTTTTATCTTTTAGGTATAGACACATTGTTTGTGAATTGATTTATTGTGCTAGGCTTACATACACAATGTTACTTCAAGACTGTTGTCTAAAAGAAGACAAGTCTAGACATTCCACTTTTCTTTAGTCCCAGATTGTTTTTTGTTACAAATTACATACACTGTACATTCTGACAATCTAAGAATTGGTTCAGAATTGATCTGTCTTTTTGATAATATAATTTAAGTATTTATTTTCTAAGTGTACCTTTCAGGCTGGCCATAAATGGGGAGATCTGCTTTCAGTGGTGTTAGATTATAGGCTGAAAGGAAACATGAGGGGGGACTCTTTATTGGAGAGTGGATAGCTGAAATATAGATGTCCTATCTCTGCCTGCTTAAGATCCTCAACCACTAGAAAGACATAGTAGAGGTCAATGTGGAACTTGTAGAATCTTGGAAGACTCCAAAGCTACTTATGGCATAGGTTTGTGTAGAAATAGAAGACATGAAAGGAATAGAGACATCCAAGTGTATTCTGTAAATGAGTCAGCTTATGCCAGCTTCTCATTTAAAACCCCAGCAAAAGAAGTACAACTATAATATGGCATCAGTAATGGCGGATTGTTGTAAGTCATACACCATAGCAAAAAATTTATAATTTCTGACACAAAGCAAATTTATTTTTATTTGAAACAGCACTGAATGTAAATATCTAAAATGTTTCTATTTTGTAAAGTGCCAGATTGCTAATTAAAAAGGAAAAGTTACAGATTAGGCATTAGTTTGTTTAATTGCATGGGAAATGGCAGGGTGACAACTTCCTCCTCTTTTCCTGGCATCGTTTACCTGCCTCCAGCTACTATTTAACCCTTTTTTTCCGTGCATGGGCATAAGGAGTGGTGTCATTTGCTTGCTCCTCTGTAGCATTTACTAATGCTGCTTCCTGCCCTGTTTGCATGTTGATTTAAAACCTTGGGAGATTTATAGCTTCCAGCAATAATAGTGCTCGACTTGTCCCCTCCCCTGTTCCTCCAGGAAAGGAAATTCTTCAAAGGCTTCTTTTCAAAAGTAAGTTCAATGCCATTTGTAATTAAACATATAAGGAGTTGCACACTGGTATATTAAACTGGCACTATTGCTTTCTTATTCCTGCACTATATAAATTGCTCAAATTTAACAGTTCTGTATAGTTGCACATTTTGATAATCTTACTCTTTATATCCCTACTGCCTTTAATGTAAGAACTTTAAAGTGATAGCCATAGTAAAATCAAGTTATTTTTCTTTACTTCGGTAATGCAAAAAAAAAAATTTCATTCTTACTTGAAATTGAGATAACCTGAATATTTTATCAATATTTGTGCAATGATCATTCAAATACAATTTTGCAATGATTTCTGGGTCCAGGAATGCTATACAAGCAGGAATTTCAGTGATGGACAGTTTACTATAACTGATGTCACAGCATTGGTGATGGTTCCCTGTTCATTGTGAAAATGGCATTTAGGCATTGCTGACAAAGATTAGTTCAGAAATAAATTGGGCAAATTCTGTATTTGAAGCTAACTGACTCCAACGCTTTACAGCGGTTGTTTATTGAATAGACCTTCATAGTACTGACTGTTTACTAGCACATCTAGACGCTCTCTGAGGGAATTTTCTCAAATCTGGAGCAAACTGGATTTGTAGCAGCTGTGCATGGCAACCAGTCATCTTCAATCTTTCATTTTCATAGCTTAACTGAGCAAACTGAAAATAAAAGCGAATTGATTGCCTTGCACAGCTGCTAAAGGTTCTGTTTTGTTTCGCTTTTGATAAATTCCCCTCAATGTGATTGAGGGATTGGACCACAGTAAAGGACACATTTTTAAAATTTTCAGTTATTTGAGTACAAAGCCAGATTTTCAGATTTAGAGGCCAGAATTCAGAGAAGTTGAATTGTGAGCAATATGTGTAGATAAATATAGTCATCTAAAGTTTTTCTCTTTAAAGCCCAGCTCCAGACACAAATGTGCTTTTGGATAGACTTCAGAAGAATAAATACTTCTAACAAGGTTTGATTTCTGTCCATAACCCTGTTGGGCAGGTTTCACCTTGCTTGTCTTACTGACCACCTTTGCTGCAGGACCATAAATAAGTTGGTCTTTAGACACAAGGACAGGAAGACAGAGAAGCAATATTAACCTGACAGGTTTTTTTTGTCTCCAATGAAAAGATTTCCTATCCATTCCTGACCTGCAGTGAATGAAAATCTATCCAATGGGGTCACAGGACACTGTAAATCTTGACAAGGTTCTACCCTAACAAACTCCTAAACTTTTTCGGCTAAATTTGGGCTTTAAAGTGGTTCTACAAGCTCAAGATTTTTTTATCTTCATGCATTCTATGCATGAAGGTAAAAAAAAAAAAAAAAAAACATTCTGCATGTTGCAGCCCCCCTTACCTGAGCCTGAGTCCCATCCCCATCCAGCGATGTCCATGAAAGACTGTGTTCTCCAGGGACTCACTCCTCATTGGCTGAGGCAGCAGCATTAGCCATTGCTCCCATTGCTGTCAATCACAGCCAGTGAGCCAATCAGGAGAGGGAGGGTAGGGGTCAAGCAATGGCTCTGTGTGAATGGACACACACAGCTGTGGCCTGAGTGCCCCATATAAAGCTGCTTGCTGTAGGGGCACCAGACCAGAGGAAGGGGCCAGGAGCACTAGCAAGGACCTGAGAAGAGGAGCATTCGAGCTGTTCTGTGCAAAACCATTACACAGAGCAGGTAAGTATGAAATGTTTTTGTTTTTTGTTTTTTTTAAACAAGACTTTAGTATCACATTCATTTGTTTTAAGTTTGAACACAGTTGTTGCTAATTGATCTTGGCTAACAGCAGGGTTTGCCTTCACACAAATTAGGCTGTTGTGGCCAGGTAAGTTCCACAATGGCTTGATAGGCCATCATATCATATACAAGTAAGCTGTTCTGTTTGATGTGCACCCTGTTCCAAATTATTATGCAAATTATATTTTTCTCATTTACCTAAATAATTGATGTAAATAACAGTCATCATAATTCTCATGTTATCATTAGGAGGTTTGTTCAATAAAATTTGAATTGTACTCTTAATAGTTGATAATAGTATTTTCTTTAAACATAAAAAACTTACAATGCACAGTTCCAAATTATTATGCACAGTAAGTTTCAAAACACTTTATAGGTTGTAAAGAACTGAAAATTGTCATTTGTTGTGTTTGCAGCATATTTACTGAAATCAAAAGCTATTTCAATCAAACTTTTAACAACATTTTAACTTTATAAACATTTTAACAGGTCTCGTTACATTTTAACATAGGACCCCTTATTTGATAGCAGCTTCAGAAGTCTTGCATCCATTGAACTTGTGAGTTTTTGGACAGTTTCTGCTTGAATTTGTTTGCAAGATGTCAGAATAGCCTCCCAGAGCTGCTGTTTTTGGATGTAAACTGCCTCCCACCCTCAGATCTTTTGCTTGAGGATGCTCCAAAGCTTCTCAATAGGATTGAGGTCAGAGGAGGATGGAGGCCACACCATGACTTTCTCTCCTTTTATCCCCATAGCAGCCATTGATGCAGAGGTATTATTTGCAGCATGAGATGGTGCATTGTCATGCATGAAGATGATTTTATTACGGAAAGCTTAGTTCTTCCTTCTGTACCAGGGAAGAAAGTGGTCAGTCATAAACTCCACATACTTTACAGAGGTCATCTTTACACCTTTGGGGACCCTAAAGGGGCCCACCAGCTCTGTTCCCATGATTCCGGCCCAAAACATGACTCCACCACCGCCTTGCTGACGTTGCAGCCTTGTTGGAACAGGGTGGCCGTCCACCAACCATCCACTACTCCATACATCTGGACCATCCAGGGTTGCACGGCACTCATCAGTGAACAAGACTGTTTGAAAATTAGGCTTCATGTATTTTTCTGCCCAATGCAGCCGTTTCTGCTGGTGAGCATTGGTTAGTGGTGGCCGAATAGAAGGTTTATGCACAGTTGCAAGACTCTGGAGGACTCTACACCTTGATGTCCGTGGGACTCCAGAGGCACCCGCAGCTTCAAATATCTGTTTGCTGCTATGTAATGGGATTTTAGCAGCTGCTCTCTTGATCCAATGCATGGATCTGGCAGAAATCTTCCTCAATGTGCCTTTATCTGCACTAACCCATCTGTGCTCTGAATCCGCCACAAATCTCTTAATAGTGCGATGATCACGCTTAAGTTTTCATGAAATATCTAATGTTTTCATACCTCGTTCAAGGCATTGAACTATTTATTTCACTCTTTTCGGCAGCAGAGAGATCCTTTTTCTTCCCCATATTGCTTGAAAATGGTGCTCTGCTTAATAATGTGGAACACCCTCCTTTAGTAGTTTTTCCTTAAATTGGGCTCACCGGCCAATCTAATTATCACAGGTGTCCGAGATTGTTTTCAGTGATCAAAAGAGCCCTGAGACACAATGCCATCCATGAGTTAAACTGAAAAACAAAATATTTCATCTTTGTGACACTTAAATAGAATATGCATAATAATTTGGAACAGGGTATAAAGTAACCTTTGTGTTTTGATGTCTTTAGTGTTTAACTCTACATGTAGAAATACAGTATGTTTGACTTTTTCTTTAATTTAGCTGGAGCCCTTTCTTTATCCCTATAACATGACAATACCTTGTCATTTAATGTTAAATAGACTTGCATAATTCTTGAAGTTCACAAAAGTCTTTGATTTTCCAAAAAGCTAATAGGACTCTAAAATTGAAATGTCTTTCTGGTATGCAAGCAGATCCACAATTTATTGGGAGATTTTAAGCCTCTTGCACACTGCACTTATATTTGCTTTTACAGGTGTTTGGCATTTTTCTTTTTTTTTTTTTTTTTTTTTTTTTTTTTTTTTTTTTTTTTTTAGTAAAAGCACCTTTGTTAGCCTATGTGTTCACCCTGACATAGGCGTTTATGAGTGTATTAGAAGAGGAGCATTCACAGGCTGAAAAAAAAAAAAAACTTCAACAAATTCAGGAGAGGAGCTTTTGAGCAGAAAAACAAGAAAAAAGTTAGATACCCCTAAAACACTAGGTTCCCCTAGCATTTGGGCATTAATGCATTCCAAAAGCCACAATGTAGTATTCTGGTCAACTGAATCCATTAATGCTGAAATGTTTGACGCGCTTAAATGCGTGCACACATTTTTTTAAGCTGCCTTTCTCATACCAAGAGTAAAAGGCGTTCAGAGGAGAAAATCAAACGCCCTATGTGCATGAGGCCTAATATGGCTCACATTTCGTTGCTGACCCCTAGACAGTGCTTTTTCAGCTTTTTGACCATTTCTGTCTCCATTTACTTTAAAACTGGGAAGGCCATGTTCGATCATCTGTAAGACATCAGTTTACTTCTCTTAAAAGAGACTACCTGAAGTGTTTGGTTTTTTTTCCCTTCTTTCATCCGAGTGTGCTAGATGTGCTTAATCTGGACTGCCTAAATGCCATTTTTCAGTGTGCTACAAATTAACTAATAAAGATACCAGTGGAGTAACTCCTTACATATGTGTGACAATTTCCTCAGTTTTTTTGGTAGATTCTCCAGTCCAGGTAAAGAATTTTGATGCAGAATTCTTTCCTTCCCAAATAACGTTTGCAGTAGTATTGTTCTAAGTAATTCCCTTTGAGATGCTGCTCACCCTTTCTCTGCAGTGCTTTTCTGACCTGCTGTTCTGCTTTGGTGAGTGACTTGGCATGGATCTTGGGTAAATAGGTGTTGGCTTTCCATATATTTTAGTTCTGATTTGCTTTTATTTTAGGTTGGTGGACAAACACATTTTCACTACGAAATTGTAATTATTTTATTTTTTAATTCCTTAAAGACTGGCAAGAAGGCAATCAAGGCCGTGCTGTGGGTTTCAGCTGATGGACTCAGAGTTGTGGACGAGAAGACAAAGGTTGTACACTTATATTTTCTTGGCAGCTTCCCCCTTTTTTATGTATACCTTGTTCATAAAGCAAAACAAAGTGAGTTAAAGAGCAGCATCACTTCTCCTGTGCCCCCCCCCCATGTTAATTTGGTTTTTAATTTTAATCCTACATTTTATCCTAAATTTACATGCTCCCCTGACCAATGAATCTAGTGCTGCCCCGCTGTGATCGCCATTGGCTGTCAAACAAGTCCCGGGTGTCGTCTCCGACATCATCAAGAGCCAAGTGTCTCTACAGGTTTCAGGCAGCCAGTCAGCCCCTGATGACATGTGGCCGGACAGCTGTCCTCCAAACAGAGTGAATGGAAGCCCGTGCCTCCTGGGATATGTGATGTGATGATGTCCAGGAGGCTTCAGGTGCCTGGGCTGAGCCTAGGTGACAATGTGGGGGGGGGAGGTGCAAGTTGGATCGAGAAAAAGATAAATAAAATTTTGCTATTTTACCACGTGGAGGGGAAAGGAATACAATGGGGGATTTTTTTTATGGGGGGGGGGGGGGATTCAATTGCTTTTGCTTTGAAGGGAGAAATGTTCTGGGCTTTTCCAAGGCTTTACTACCTGGCTAGACATTGACCTTGAGGATGAGAGTTTTTGGGGGGTTAAAGGGATACAGTGGGGGAATGTTTTCTTTTTTTAGGAGGTGGATATTCAATTGCTTGTTTTTGAAGGGTAGCTTTTCTACCTGGTGAGTCACTGCCCTGGAGGATGAGCGTTTTTAGACTTTTACAAAAAAATTATAGACTTTAAATGCATTCTTTTTCTAGGCAAGTGTTTGCCAGTTAGTGAAGTAAAAATCAAGATGGCAACCTCAGAGCTGGCACCTTTCAAAGAGTTGACAATGTGAGTTAACCATAATGTAACTCTTTGCCGTTCTGGCCACTTTTAGGCCAGGTCAGATTCACTTTTTGTACTCCTAAGGGCACATGCACACAATGTTTTTAATGCTGCTTTTAAGGGTGTCTGGCATTGTGGGGTTTTTTTTTCCCCCTACCTCTAAATTCCCCTCCATTTTAGCCTATGTGCCCATGCACACAAAAGTGGTTAGAGGCAGAAACTGAAAACTGCCAGTGCATCCAGGAGCAGCTGTGTCGTGGCAGAAAAAATGATTGCATGTAAACACGCATTAATGCTAGGCACATCAAGCACTTGAACGTTGATTCATTTCAATGGCTGGAATTCTGGCCAATGAAGTGGATTAATGCCCAAGTGCTTGATGTTTCTACACACATTTACACGTGTTAGGAGTGGGTTGTTTTTTTTTTTGGGTGGGTTCATGCAAAAATGTGACTGCCAAGAGGAAAGAGATTAGCCAACGCCCTGTATGCATGGGGCCTAAGTATTAACTCCAGTGTTTACCAGAGAAAGCAGTTATTCCCTCTGCTGGGCATGTTCATGAGCCTAGAAGGAACACGGTCACTGCAGGTACAGTATCTGGTGCCTATAATGACTGACACTCATGGAGATGAAGCTAAACACACGTACTTAGAGCAATGTCCATAACAAGAATAAAATTGTGCTTTATACTGTTCCAAAGAAAAAAAAAAAAACATATATGGTATATACAGTGACAGTTTTATAGTTTCAATAAAAGCTGACAAAGGGTATTGACAGAATTTTGCTTTTTGTGTCATTTCCTGTTTGCTCCCACCCCAATGGACTGTGTTTTAGTTAGTAACCTGCTGTTTTGCTTCCTCACACAGGATCTTTTAGTAGACCAAACAATAGAAAAAGTGTCATTCTGTGCTCCGGACAGGAATTTTGACAGAGCATTCTCTTATATCTGTCGTGATGGGACAACAAGAAGATGGATATGCCACTGTTTTATGGCTGTTAAGGACACGGTCAGTATTGAGAAGACTTTTATACTATATTATTATTATTATTATAGTATTATACTATAATTATACATATATAAAATATATATGTAATGTTGTGAAATAATTAACATTTTGTAGGCATAAAAAGGGAAGAAACGGGGCAGTTCCTTTTGTGCTTAGCTTTGCAAGTGTTTGATATCCTCTATGACAAAAAACTACTTTCTGAGATGTCACTAACTTGCCAGTCATTTGTGGACATAGTCTTTCTCTGTAGTTTGACAAAATTGGCCTCTTGATTATCCTCCTGTTAATTTTAATCAGTAATTCATGTTCGATAATGGGCATGTTGATCTCGGCTTTACAGTGGGTAAAATAAGTATTGAACACGTCATCATTTTTCTAGGTAAATATATGTCTAAAGGCGTTATTTGACATGAAATTACACCACATGTCGGTAACAACCCATGCAATACATACAAAGAAACCAAAACAAATCAGTTCACAAATTAAGTTATGTGTAATAAAATGTAATGACGTAGGGAAAATGTATTGAACACATGAAGAAAGGGAGGTGCAAAAAGGCATAGAAAGCCAAGACACCAGCTGAAATCTATCAGTAATTAGAAAGCAATCCTGCCCCTTGTCAGTTCAAATTAACATGAGCGCATTCAGTCTCACCTGATGGCCTTTAAAAAGGTGTCTCATTACCAAGGTGTCACACAAGAAACATCTCATGATGCTCTCTCAAGACCTTTGCAACCTTATTGTTGCAAAATATACTGATGGCATTGGTTGCAGAAGGATTTCTAAACTTCTGAATGTTCAAGTGAAGTTAGGGCAATAATCCGGAAGTGAAAAGAACAACATTTCACCATAAACCAACCACGACCAGTTGCTCCTCCTAAGATTTCTGTCAGAAATCTATGAACTCTGATGTTTAGTTCTTTCCATAGATTTTCTATTGGATTCAAGTCAGGTGATTGGCTGGGCCATTCTAGCAGCTTTATTTTCTTTCTTTGAAACCAGCTGAGAGTTTCCTTGGCTTTGTGTTTGGGATCATTGTCTTGCTGAAATGCCCACCCTCATTTCGTCTAAATCATTCTTGTAGATGAAAGCATATTTTTACCAAGAATGTCTTGGTACATTTTTCCATTCCATTCATCCTTCCTTCAATGATATGAAGTTTGCCAGTACCGCCCCACACCATGATGTTCCCACCTCCAAACTTCACTGTTGGTATGGTGTTTTAGGGGTGATGTGCAGTGCCATTTGACCTCCAAACATGGTATGTATTATGGCATCCAAATAATTCTATTTTGGTCTGACCAGACTTTATTCTCCCAGTATTTCACAGGCTTGTCTGTGTTGTGCAGCAAACTTTAAATAAGCTTCAGCATGCTTTTTCTTCAGCAATGGAGTCTTGTGTGGTGAGTGTGCATACAGGCCCTGGCGGTTGAGAGCATTACTTATTTTCTTTGAAACAATTGTACCTGCTAATTCCAGGTCTTATTGAAGCTTTCGATAAGTGATCCTTGGCTCTTGGACAACTCTTCTGATCATTCTTTTCCTCTGTCAGAAATCTTACGAGGAGCAACTGGTCGTGGACGGTTTTGGTGAAATGATGTTCTTTTCACTTCCGGATTATGGCCCTAACTTCACTGGAACATTCAGAAGTTTAGAAATCCTTTTGTAACCAATGCCATCAGCATAGTTTGCAGCAATAAGGTTGCAAAGGTCTTGAGAGAGCTCTTTGCTTTTACCTATCATGAGATGTTTCTTGTGTGACACCTTAGTAATGAGACGCCTTTTTATAGGCCATCAGGTGAGACTGAATCAGCTCATGTTAATTTGCACTAACAAGGGACAGGATTGTTTTCTAATTACTGATAGATTTCAGCTGGTGTCTTGGCTTTCTATGCCTTTTTGTACCTCCCTTTCTTCATGTGTTAAATACTTTTTTCCCAATACCTTTTCTTTCCATTTTATTACACATAACTTAATTTCTTAACTTGTGTGTTTTTGTTTCTTTGTATGTATTGCATGGGTTGTTACCGACATGTGAAAATTTCATTTAAATAACGCCTTTAGACATATATTTTACCTAGAAAAATGGTGACATGTTCAATACTACTTTTACCCACTGTATATACAGTACTGACTGAAATTCGTAAATGAGCTAGAGCAAAAATATTAGTATTTTGCTAACTTAAAGTAGAAGGCTGTATTTTCCAAGCACAGGCAATAACTGTTTGGGTTATTATTTTTTAACATAAAGAGAAGTCTCTTAAAATTTGTTCAGAATATATTTTTACATGTACTGACATGACACCCTTTTTTAATGTGAGATTTGTTATGATTTTGAGTGTCCCTTCCAATCTGTTTTGTTTTTTTTTTATGAATTTAGGGGGAGAGGTTAAGCCATGCTGTTGGATGCGCCTTTGCTGCATGTCTGGAGAGAAAACAAAAACGTGAAAAAGAATGTGGTGTGACTGCTACGTTTGATGCCAGCAGAACCACCTTTACCCGGGAAGGCTCATTTAGAGTTACCACTGCCACAGAACAGGCGGAGAGAGAAGAGATCATGAAACAAATTCAGGATTCTAAAAAAGGTACCTCTCTTTGTATTTTGTTTCCTCATTTCTATTGAGTTCTACTCTTTCGAATGTTTGTTTTTAATAAATGCAGCTATTAGTTTTTACTAACTGGGCATTCTTCAATTCTGAAGGCGTTTTTGTTGCTTATCCAAACTCTGAGCGTCGGGAACATATCACAGCATATATATCCACATAGGCCACCTTAGTGTGTCAAAGAAAATATTAAATGTGCAAGAAAACTAAGGCAAATGCTCTTGGTCAATGAACTTCTAGGCTTACACATTCATAATTAAAACACCAATGTGGACGACTTAAAGCAGTAGTAAACCGCAAGAAAGATTTAAAAAAATCTCCCAGCAAGTTAAAAGCATAAAATCTGAAAACAAAGCCCCTGAGCGGAGCTCTGTCACAGCTCCTGAGGTTTCCATCTTCACCCAGTCTTCTTTCCAGGTTCGCAAGCCGCGGCCATTTGATTAGCTGAGATGTCTTTTCGGCTGTGGCATGGCTCTCTCAATGGACAGAAGAAGAAACGCAGTGCCTCTGAGTGTAGACTGTATCACCGCTTTAATAGTTAAAAAGTAAATTAGCAACTCACATATGTAAAATGACAAGCGGGCTCATAAGGAACGGATGTTCAGACCGCCTCATTGCCAGGTGGTAAACCGCAGTGTGGCTGTGTGCAGGCAAGACAGTGGGGAGTGCTGAAGAGGGAGAAGAGCACCAGTTGGTGTTGCTGCAATGGCCCACTATGAAGTCCGGAGCGTTGGCGTCTGACGTCATAAAGTGCAATGCGTTTCTGAGCATGCGCAGGGTCCGATGTAGACCGGCATCTGCTTGATGGAGCGCACCGGTCTACATCGAACCCTGCATGTGCTCAGAACAAGACTCTCTCAATGGACAGCGCACCATGAGGTCACCGATGCTTTTACAGTAAATATCTCTTAAATGGTGCATGTTTTAGTAGATTTTCACAGTACCTAGAGGTAAGCTTTATTAACGGCTTAAAGATCGCCCTATAGCAGATATACTGCTACAGAGCTGCCCCTGTGCGTAAAATCACGTGTATATAAACAGCATTTTGCATCTCCGGGTAGGGGGCGCACATGAGCCCTATCCACGCCGCCATTCGCGGCCGCGGGTGTCAGTCACTGGGTCCTGGCTTGTTATTACCCACCGGCACCCCGTGAATACCAGCAATCACCGACAGGGAGGAGGGCTGCTTTATTTACGAACAGTCGTCCTTCCTGTCAGTTTGGGCACACTGCTCTGGATGGCTGAGCACAGGCGGTGTAGTCTAATGGTGGGCATTCCACACACTTTTCCTGGCAGAGATTTCTTCATTCAGCCCATAGCATATATACCCAACAAGGATCAGCGACGTACTGGTACATCACTGGACTTTGGTTATACCAGGATGATGCCTACAGCTGCAGACATCATCCTGGTATAATTTTTTTCAGTCGGTGTTTGGCTTTCATGCACAAGCAATCTTAGTGTCTAATTAGCTGCAGGATTGCTTTTACAAGCAGCAGGAGACTATGCCACCCTCCCCCGCTGCCTTCCACGGCCTTCCACTGGCTGCATTCTCAGGTTCCCCCGATGGCACGTGAATAAAAATCAAAATAACTTTTTAAAAAAAAAAAAAAAAAAAATCACCCTTACCCCCCCGCACGTGCTTAAGCGTTGACCGTGTGCCGGTATGTAAACAGCGGTTGCACCATGCATGTGAGGTATCGTCGCGAACGTCCAATCCAGGGCTGTAACTCTAGCACTAGACCTCCTCTGTAAATCTAAAATGGTAGCTTGTAAAGGCTTTTAAAGCGTTGCCTATGGATATTAAAAATGTGTGCAGTTGACGCCATTGAACGGGGCATGCGCAGTTTTATAGAATGTCATGTTTTGTATCTATTTACTTGGCAAAAGCACAATATATTGGCCAATTATTTGGTAAGATATAAAAGATGATGGTACTATGTGACATAATGTGACAAAATTGCAGCACCCACCATTTTATTGACTAGGATGTCTTTAAAAAAAATATATGTTTGGGGGTTCAAAGTAATTTTTCTAGCAAAAAATACTGATTATTTTGATGTGAACAAAAAGTGTCAGAAAAGGCTTGGTCTTCAGGTGGTTAGAAGAGTGAATGTTGTGTGGCATAAACTTCTAATGCTGGGCATAAAATGCCCCCACTCGCCAAAATGACCCCTTTTTTGGAAAGACACCCAAAACTATTTGCTGAGAGGCATGTTGAGTCAATAGAAGAATTTGATTTTTTTTACCACAAGTTTTTGGAAAATGACAAAAAATTATGTTTTTTACACAATTGTCACGATTTATTGCTCACACATGCCATGGGTATATGTGGAATTACGCCCCAAAATACATTCTGCTAATCAAGATGGCAAGTGGTTATCGGCTTACCTGTAGGTAAAAGATACAAAATTGGGTTTACTTTCACTTTAAAATGACTGTCTAAGACAAATATTTGCTTATTGTTCTTGCATTGATTATATAATATGCCTAAGGCCCCATTCACACCTGAATGTTTTCTAGCTCAAAGCTTCACACCTAATAGTATTACTTAACCGCTTCCCCTCCTCCCAATTGCAGAAATACTGATACAGGGTGGCAAGGGTGCGCAAAATCACGTATATCTATGTAATTTAGCATTTCCGGGTAGGGGGCGCGCACCACCTACCTGTGCTGCCATTCGCCTCGGCTGTCAATCACTGGGTCCAGGCCGGTGATCACCGAATATCTCCAACAGGTGAGAGACCTGTGTTTAAACAACACAGATCTCTCCCCTGTCAGCTCCTGTGCACTGCTTTGTATGGCTCTGCATAGCATAGCAGAGCCATACAAAGCCGTGTGCTTACAGTGAAACAGACACAGCCCACGTAGTAAAACAGCACACAATTTGATCTCCCCACATGTTTACCCCTTCCTGCCCAGTGCCATTAGTACAGTGCCAGTGTTTTTTTATTAACACTGATCACTGTATTAGTGTCACTGGGGATGTCTGACACCAGATCAGTTCCCCCCACAGTATCAGAATGCCCGCTGCAGCTGCAGTCCAGCCATAAGTTGCTGATCACCGCCATTACTAGTAAAAAAAAAAAAAAAAATTCCAGTATCTATACCGCCATTTGTAACTTTCACGTAAACCAATTCATTTACATGTATTTTGATTTTTTTTTAGCAAAGACATGTAGCAGAATATATTTTGGCCTAAATTTTTGATGAAATTTGATTGATTTTTTTTTTATTATTATTTTTTTTTATTGGACATGTTTAATGGCAAAAAATATATATATTTTTTTTTCTCCCAAAATTGTTGCTATTTTTTTGCTTTTAGTGCAAAAAATAAAAACTGCACAGGCGATCAGATACCACTGAAAGAAAGCTCTATTTGTGGGGGAAAAAAAATGTTAAATTTCATTTGGGTGCAGCTTTGCATGACCGCGTAATTGTTAAAGTAACGCAGCACCGTATCGCAAAAAATGGCCTGGTTAGGAAGGGGGGTAAATCCTCTGGAGGGCAAGTGGTTAACCACCTCAATACCTCTGTATGTACATAGAGGTGAAACTCAAAAAAGTAGAACATCGTGTAAAAGTTAATTTATTTCAGTAATGCAACTTAAAAGGTGAAACTAATATATGAGATAGACTCATTAAATGCAAAGTAAGATCGTTCAAGCCATGATTTGTCATAATTGTGCATTTGGGGTTTTCATGAGCTGTAAGCCATAATCATCACAATCTCAGAAAATTAGAATATTGTGAAAAGGTGCAATATTCTAGGCTCAGTGTCCCACTCTAATCAGCTAATTAAGCCATAACACCTGCAAAGGGTTCCTGAGCCTTTAAATGGTCTCTCAGTCTGGTTCAGTAGGAATCACAATCATGGGAGACTGCTGACTTGACAGTTGTGCAGAAAATCATCATTGACACCCTCCATAAGGAGGGAAAGCCTCAAAAGGTAATTGCAAAAGAAGTTGGATGTTCACAAAGTGCACAAGCAGCATGGATGACCGCAGTCTGGATTGTCAGGAAAAGGCCTTTCAAAAGTGTTGGACTTTCACAAGGAGTGGACTGAGGCTGGAGTCAGTGCATCAAGAGCCACTACACACAGACGGATCCTGGACATGGACTTCAAATGTCGTATTCCTCTTGTCAAGCCGCTCCTGAACAACAAACAACGTCAGAAGCGTCTTACCTGGGCTAAAGAAAAACAGACCTTGTCTGTTGCTCAGTGGTCCAAAGTCCTCTTTTCTGATGAGAGCAACTTTTGCATCTCATTTGGAAACCAAGGACCCAGAGTATGGAGGAAGAATGGAGAGGCACACACTGCAAGATGCTTGAAGTCCAGTGTGAAGTTTCCACAGTCTGTGTTGATTTGGGGAGCCATGTCATCTGCTGGTGTTGGTCCACTGTGCTTCATTGAGTCCAGGGTCAACCTAGCGTCTACCAGGAGATTTTGGAGCACTTCATGCTTCCTTCTGCAGACTAGCTTTATGGGGATACTGACTTCATTTTCCAGCAGGACTTGGCACCTGCCCACACTGCCAAAAGCACCAAAACCTGGTTCAATGACCGTGGGATTACTGTGCTTGATTGGCCAGCAAACTCGCCTGACCTGAACCCCATAGAGTATCTATGGGGCATTGCCAAGAGAAAGATGAGAGACATTAGACCGAACAATGCTGAAGAGCTGAAGGCTGCTATTGAAGCATCCTGGTCTTCCATAACACCTCAGCAGTGCCACAGGCTGATAGCTTCCATGCCACGCCGCATTGAGGCAGTAATTGCTTCAAAAGGGGCCCAAACCAAGTACTGAGTACATATGCATGCTTATACTTTTCAGAGGTCCGATAGTGTTCTATGTACAATCCTTGTTTTATTGATTGCATGTAATATTCTAATTTTCCGAGATTGTGGATTTGGGGTTTTCATGAGCCATAAGCCATAATCATCACAGTTATGACAAATCACAGCTTGAACTATCTTGCTTTG